TCTCGTCCACGACTATCACCAAACGAAAGTCTATCCCTCATCGACTGCCTGAAAGACAACCAAAATTTAAAAACAATTTTTAGTTTGTTGACCAACACCCTGCACGAGGTGGTTATCGAGCACCGAGTTGATGAAATATTCAGGAGGCCGTATCTTTTCCTTGCAAAAAATTGACACTACCATTCATCCTCTAACCAAAAGATGACTATCAAGTAGGCAGTTTTTCAAGGGCTATTTGAAAATCGAGAGGATAAGTAGTTATCATTCACCTGTTCGATCCTGCTGCGTACGGTTTCTCTCCATCACTTCTTCTTCTTTCAGGATAGTTACGAAAACCACCGCTCATCCTGAAAACAATTTACATACATATAACAATATGCCGAGAGAGAAAGATGAAGGTTTGGCACACCTTGATGGGATCGGTCCAGAGCGGCGAGGCCCATCGATCGTACATGTCTATAAATCAAGTAAAGCACACATTAGAGCCACGAAATCAATCTAAAATAACACTACCATCAATGAGGAAACGAAGGCAGGCAGAAAAATTCTACACTGAGGAGAGGCAAGAAGAATTGAATGCGAGGTTTAAGCACAGGTATATCCAACGCTTTATCAATTATCAAACCAAAGTGTTTACAAAAAACTGTAACCAGCGGATCTAACTCACGATTCGTTCCCTTGGCGTGGTTGTTTTACTCTCTTTTTTACCTGAAACAGACACACCAACTACTAGAGAGCGACATGTAAGATGATCGGCAAATAGAAACTGATCTTAATTAGAGAAGTCAGGCACAAAGCAACAATTCTTCCAAAAAGAATTATAATATCTTTCGCCACCCCATGTATTTAGACTGAAGCAGTACTGTATTTAATCATTACACTGCATGATCTAAGATAAGAAAAATCAATCTGTACTTCACCCTCGCAATATTTTAACCCTAACAGACTCAACGTCTCTCTGATGAAAACTGAAGTTTGCCACTAACAGTGATGAGAGTTGATCCAGTCATCCTGCATCACCGTTTGCTTTCAGACTTCGACGATTCTACCTACGATTCTACGTGCGCGCAGACACGCGTGCAGGCAGAATCGTCGTAGTCTGAAAGCAGCCATTGAGGAACATTACCTCAAAAGTTGGAAAAATAGCTTTGTTATAGCGTAAACTTTTGGAAATGGAAAATCGAAGGTCTTACTCCTCAAGGCCATGAGAGCAGCTTGGTCGAGCATGTTGATTGGTTGAGTTTTTGAAACGACAGGTTTCGGTCCTCGAAGCAGCGGTGAACGGGAACGGGAGCGAGACCGACCATGAGAAACATGAACACGTCGCATCCTATAAAAGTAAGGCTGTATCGAACTCCGATCCGGTCATGCAAATCCAGTGTTGTTCACACTTGATGGACTAACACTATGAGAGAAAAAAGGCCCTCATGGAAATGAAACTGTTGGGAACATACAACCTCACAAGGTACTGTTTCCATCAAAGGCAATCACTGAGATATTTGTTTGAACCAGGAAAAAGCCCCGAACGATGTCAGTACGGACAGAGGGTCACTAGCAAGTAGGAGTGTCGTGCAGACAACGATGCCAAAATGAGGAATACGCAGATAGTAAAGATTCTTAAAGTATATACATATTCCAAACAGAGCGTTTTCAAAAAAAAAAATCGAAGAGCGGGTTGAAGTACACGGAAAAATTGTTGAAAACGATTACGTCTATTGAATTATTCACTTTGATATCAAGCTGTTGTTCATCGGTAAACACTTCGTTATCCGAGGAACAACAGCTTGATGTCAAGGTGAATAATTCAATAGGCGTAATTGTTGAAGAACTAGAACAACTGTTCCAAATTTGAAGCGTGATTGAATAATCACCCACGCTAGTCGCCACCAAAACAACTTTCTCGAATCTACTGACACCTTCACTTCTTCACATTTCACCCAATAACGCCTCCCTCTCAAATCGAGTCAGCCAAATGTCCGACATTCCCTACTCATCGTCAGGAATGCGAAGTTCCTTGTAGACCCACCTGCCGTAGATAGGAGCGACTTTGCAATTATTTTTGACGGGATTCAGACTTCTTTCATATCAGTGATACGATATGACGAATTCTTCACCACAATCCTCATCAAGTTATTTAAATTAGCGCTAAGTTTAAGTAACATCCTCATTAGTCCTTGTGGCGAGACGAAGTTAGTATGAAATCTACTCGCGCTAGAAATAGAGGAGTACTCCAACCCTTCGTAGACGGCTATTGTTCATTCGAAGAACTGGAACTGTAACCACCTTAATCCAACTGTCCCAAATCGCACGACGTGTCTAGTTAACCGTGTTATTTCCGAGGATTTCTCAGCGCGTGCGATCCTTATCTTGTCAACTATATTCGGAACCAGGTCATTTCTGAGCACTTGCATTTCGAAAACAGGCCAAATGAGCTCGTGGTGACGAGCAGTCACTGTTAGGACGAGTTAAGCAGGAGGAACTACTGACGTGAAAGTGGACTAGCAACCGAATTCGCGCTGTTGTTCACTGCTTTCTCAACGATACCAGCATATAAGAGGAACGCCGATCGGCTTTTAGAGCCTTTCAATCTATCATTCAACTTTCATATTTTTGCCTTTCCCATCCCACATCTCCACATTTCCAACTAAAATCTCATTGAAGATCTTATCGAACTCTGTTCCAATATTACGGATGCGACTCTCTTCGGATGCGAGCTTAATCGCACGAATTGCATTGCTGCAGAGCTGAGAAACCAACGGCAGTCTTTACTTTTCAGTATAGCTAATATTCGATGAACGCTCCAACTTTACGAGAGGGATTCCACTATTCAGCAAAGATACGGACGTCGACACGACGAGTAGGGCTACCTCCTACCGGGGTGTGGTGCGATTCACGCGACCAACTATCCACGTTTACAGAAGGATTGCGTTTTCTAGAATCAAAAAGTTTGAAGGTATTCTTATTTTGAACGTTTGGCAAGTAAATTGTTGACCTATGAGGTGAATTC